AAAATATTCTTTAAAAATCCACGCATTTTATAAGCCTCGAAAAAATATTCTTTAAAAAATCCACGCCTTTTATAAGCCTCGAAAAAATATTCTTTAAAAAATCCACGCCTTTTATAAGCCTCGAAAAAATATTCTTTAAAAAATCCACGCCTTTTATAAGCCTCGAAAAAATATTATTTGAAAATCCACGCCTTTTATAAGCCTCGAAAAAATATTATTTGAAAATCCACGCCTTTTATAAGCCTCGAAAAAATATTCTTTAAAAAATCCACGCCTTTTATAAGCCTCGAAAAAATATTATTTGAAAATCCACGCATTTTATAAGCCTCGAAAAAATATTCTTTAAAAAATCCACGCCTTTTATAAGCCTCGAAAAAATATTCTTTAAAAAATCCACGCCTTTTATAAGCCTCGAAAAAATATTCTTTAAAAAATGCACGCCTTTTATAAGCCTCGAAAAAATATTATTTGAAAAAATCCACGCCTTTTATAAGCCTCGAAAAAATATTCTTTATAAAAACCATGCCTTTTATAAGCCTCGAAAAAATATTCCTCAAAAAATCCACGCCTTGTGTTGGTCCTTAAAAAAAATATTCCTCAAAAAATCCGCGCTTTTTATAAGCTTTGGAAAAATATTCTTTAAAAAATCCACGCATTTTATAAGCCTCGAAAAAATATTCTTTAAAAAATCCACGCCTTTTATAAGCCTCGAAAAAATATTCTTTAAAAAATCCACGCCTTTTATAAGCCTCGAAAAAATATTCTTTATAAAAACCATGCCTTTTATAAGCCTCGAAAAAATATTCCTCAAAAAATCCGCGCCTTTTATAAGCTTTGGAAAAATATTCCTCAAAAAATTCGCGCCTTTTATAAGCTTTGGAAAAATATTCTTTAAAAAATCCACGCCTTTTATAAGCCTCGAAAAAATATTCTTTAAAAAATCCACGCATTTTATAAGCCTCGAAAAAATATTCTTTAAAAAATCCACGCCTTTTATAAGCCTCGAAAAAATATTCTTTAAAAAATCCACGCCTTTTATAAGCCTCGAAAAAATATTCTTTAAAAAATGCACGCCTTTTATAAGCCTCGAAAAAATATTATTTGAAAAAATCCACGCCTTTTATAAGCTTTGGAAAAATATTCTTTATAAAATCCATGCTTTTATAAGCCTCGAAAAAAAATTCTTTAAAAAATCCACACCTCTCATAAGCCTCGAAAAAATATTCTTTAAAAAATCCACGCCTTTTATAAGCCTCGAAAAAATATTATTTGAAAAAATCCACGCCTTTTATAAGCTTTGGAAAAATATTCTTTATAAAATCCACGCTTTTATAAGCCTCGAAAAAATATTCTTTAAAAAATCCACGCCTTTTATAAGCCTCGAAAAAATATTCTTTAAAAAATCCACGCCTTTTATAAGCCTCGAAAAATATTCTTTTAAAAAATATTCTTTAAAAAATCCACGCCTTTTATAAGCATCTTTAAAAAATCCACGCCTTTTATAAGCCTCGAAAAATATTCTTTTAAAAAATCCACATCTGTTTCTCCTGGATTAAAAAAAGTAGTCACACACAGTTTCACTTCCTTCTTGGTCCGAAGTGTAAGTATAGAAAAATATAACAATTTATTCCGCAATCATTTATGACGTATTTGGTTTCATACAAACTATCAATTTTATTATCAGTAGCAACTATTTAAATAATAACAAAAAATACAAACAACAACTAAAATTATGATCTCTCCCACTCTCTTTCTCTCTCCATCTCACATCGTGGAACCTTGCTCAATAAATGATACACTTCCGCTGTGGATTCATTTGTGTTCCATGTTTACATGAGAAGGTCTCAGCAAATTCTTCAAAATTAGCCAACATAGCCCGAACCCTCACCTCTTCGGGAGGATGGACATCGGTGGTGGTGACCAATTGACGCCAACGACGATTAACATCCGTACACCAAAGCTGGGCGGTGCTAATGAAAAATAACTGTCTTGCTGTAATCGTGTCCATGTTGGGTAAATGTTCAGGGGTCTGATGATGCTGTTCCAACCAACGATCATAGGCCTGATAGGCAATACGAATACCAACATTATCAGCAATGTTTTCACCTTGAGCCTGGGCCTTGGGCAGGAAACGGCCACCGAATTTATGGCTACCATATTGTTGCCGCAGACATTCTTTGCGTACCTCAAAGGTGATGCTGGCATTTCGATCCCACCAATTGTTGAGGTTGCCCTTGGCGTCATATTTTCGAATGGTATCATCAAAGCCATGAGCCATTTCATGGGCAATCGTGAAACCCACTGTGCCATATTTTAAAGCCTTGGGATAGACATCATCCCATAGGAAGCGGGGTTGCAGAAATGCCACTGGCAGTAGGACTCGATTGTATTCCGCCGCATAGGCTGGTGTGAAACTGAGTAACTCATATTCCTCCAGCCGTGGTGGTTCTTCGATTTTCAAACGATAATTCTGCCCGCGGAGCTTGAGAATGTTGATGACATTTTCAAAATACTGATTACTCGATATCACCAAGGGACCCAATTCTTTGCTAAAATCCACATCACTATAGGAGTTGATTTCAAAAGTCATTGCCGATAGTTTTTCCAATGCCTTGTCCCGGGTGTTGTCCTGCATCCATTCCGTACCGGTACCATTTAGAATATCATGAAAAGAAGTTTTCAAATGTTTCCAAATATCGTTGACTTCTTCGATTATATCCGGATCGGATTTCAATAAATCCTGATAAATCAAATTATCCAAATATTTGGGAAAATATTTTCGCGTGGCCTCAATGCATTTCTTCTGTTGCCTCTCATCACTGCCCTCCACATCTAAACGGAAATCTTGTATCAACTGCCACATTATATAATTGGCCACCGTTGTGGTGGGGGTTTCCAATATCACCAATCGCATGTTCCTCAAATAATTATCCACATATTCATAGACGGGGAGAATGTAGTTGTAACCCAACCAGGTATTGACATACAAAGTGAAATTCAAAACTGGCCCATAATTTTCAGTCATTGTCTCCAATAGCCTCAACCGGGTCTTATCTTCCATGCCTAGGCCTTCGAGAGGATCAGCCATACCCATTGCCAGCTTTTGGGCAAATTCCGCCATTTCCCTGGCCGTAATCAAGGCCACAGTAGGAGATAGGCCCAACACCTTTTGTAAATCCATTTGCCAGGCCATGGCCAGGCGAGCATAAAACTCCTTGGAACTACCGGGTACCATATCATCCATTTGTCCAATATACAGCCGATTGAATTCGTTATTATTCAAATCGGCATTAATATCAGCATTTATGATTATCTTCTTTCCATATTTCCTTAGAATTTGGGCAATAACTTCCAACCAATTAAAGGACGGTTCATGCCATGCTGCTCCCTTCAGGGCTGGCATACCGCCAAATTCCTCCATTATGCTCATTAGATTTTCCCGATAATTCCTCCTAATCGAATCCCTTTGCAAACAGCTCTCATAGAAATATTTCACTTTACGTTCCGTTTCCGTATCATTGGACTCCTTGCCTCGGCCCAAAATTTTCAACACCTTACGATTGTAGGCCTTCGATAAGATGTTGAAAATATTTGTCTTCACCTCAGCATGGGCGGGATTAATACGGGCCCAATTACCACAGGCATAGGTATAGAAATCATCACAAGCCTCGATGCCGGGTTTCATATAATTCCGCATTTCAGCCGATTTGGAGAGGCGCATTACCTGATGGGCAAAGGGAGAATCGAATGGATCTTCAACAGCCACTGCCACTGCCAGGCATGCCACAGAAATTGCTGCCAATCTCCACAGAAGTGATGCGGTGTTCCAAAACATTTTCATTTCCGCGTTCAGTAGTCAGTCACGCCGTTTACCGTTCACTTTCAAGTCACTACTAAAGGGAATTATTTTTGTGCTAAATTGTTTCACTCGAAACATTTTTTTCAACAAAACAGAAAGTTCATTTCTGGGGTTATCATTTTCAAAATATCTCACGACAATTTTTTTGTTATTCTCTTCACTTTCATTTGAAATACGAATATTGTCGCATCGCGTTGTCTAAAATCTTGTTTGGCCTTGGCAATGACGTCGTAAAGCATTTAAAGATTACAGTGTGTATATCCACACATGCGTTATATGGTGAGGGGATGAGGTATATTTTTGAACCAGTTTTCAAAATCGTAAATAGAGATGATCATAAGAGACTTGGATTTGTTAAAGAATATTTTTTCGAGGCTTATAAAAGGCGAGGATTTTTAAAGAATATTTTGTCTGGGCGCAGATTTTTAAAATGAAATGAAAAGACCTGTTCAGTATTTCGAATTTAATAATCTTCTTAATCAATATCAATATTAAAAATTCCTCTTTCCACGAAATTCTCCTCCACCTTCTATACCTTTACAAAATGTTTCCATTGAATTCAATTTCGCTTTCGAAACCCGATGTCATTGAATTAACTAACGAATCACTGATCCGACATGTTATTAAATGCATAATTAATTTTTCATTACATTAAACGCTGTCATAACATCAACATTACAAATGAATGAATGCAGGAGCCAATATCACCAGGCAACACCGCGCACAAAAACAAGTAGATTTGAATAAACGGGTCCTTTGGGTGTTTTGGCTTTTAAATGTTAGTCCATTGTCACCATAGAGATATGATGACGATGATGATGGTATTTTGGTGTAATCCTGACATTTATCGATTTACAATGTTTGCCGTCGACTGTTGGGGGTAGCACAAAGAGACCAGTGAATACAAAGGTGTCCATCCACTAAATATGTATTTATGTGTAACTAGGTGTGTATCTAGGTAGATATGGGAGTATGGGGGAACGTTAACGTAATTGAACTTTATTTTATTGCTTATGTCGAGAATTGCTATAAATGTTATGGAGTATTTTGGGATTTGCATTTTCATAAGTGGTATGATTTTCATGATAGTGTTAAGTTATAATAAGAACAACAGCCAATTGAACAGAGATCAGACCTACTAATGGCAACTGCCACTACAAATTCTGGACCATCAATGGAAGTTTCGCGAGTAGCTGTGAAAGCTCCTGCATTTTGGCGTTCAGACCCGCTGATGTGGTTCAAACAAATGGAATCGCAATTCATTATGGCTGGTATTACGCAAGATTCCACCAAATTCCATACCATTGTCGCATCGATTGAAAGCAGTATTTTGGAGAATGCATCAAAAATCATCGTCGACCCTCCTGCAGAGAACATGTACGACACGCTTAAGGGAAAACTTATTAGCAGTTTCTCCGACTCAGAGGAGAAGCGTCTCAAGAAGCTTTTGACGAACATCGAACTTGGAGACAAGAAGCCTTCAGAGTTATTATCGAAAATGTGGTCTTGGATACATCGACTTCCTTCACAAATGAAACCGATATTTTCCGTTAGTGAAGATAGTCTAGACAAATTATCAACGATGACCGACAAGATTGCGGATAGCAGTGAATCAGATGTGTGCAGCTTTTCTCCATCGAGCACTCGTTTAGAGGAAATTGAGAAAAAAGTCAAGAAGCCGTAGGAAGTCATCATCGTCAAGGAATAGACGGTCAAATTTCGGAAGTAAACCAAAACCTTATTATTGGTATAATTTCAAATTTGGGTAGAAAGCCAGAAAATGTGTTAATCCATGCAATTATAAGCCTCCAACTTCGGAAAACCAGAAATATGTCGCCTGTTTGTTGGCGATATTAAATCGAAAACCAGGTATTTAGTAGATACAGGAGCAGATTTAACGGTATATCCTGTGTCACAATCCATGCGCAATCAACCTCCCAGTAAGCTTGTTTTGTATGCCACAAAGCAAACACCGATCAGGACATATGACACAAAAACTCTTTCTATAGATTTGGGAACGAATCGATTGTTTAAATGGAACTTCGTAATTGCTGATGTACAAAAACCTATTATTGGATCAGATTTTTTTTGGGAAATATGGGCTACTTATCGATATTAAGAATAATAATCTTATAGACCGCCACACCAATATGAAATTCAATGGTCCTACAGCAACTGTACAAGATTCCGCTATTAAATGGAGAACAGCTATCAGGAACATGTGTCTAAGTTTATGGGTTTTTCAAGAATATTTTTTCTGGGCTTAAAAAGGCGTGGATTTTTTAAGGAATATTTTTTTGAGGATTAGAAATGGCGTGGGATTTTTAAAGGATATTTTTTCTAGGCTAATAAAATGCTGGGTTTTTGTAAAGAATATTTTTTTCTAGGCTAATAAAAGGTCCTCGAAAAAAAATTGTTTTAAAAATCTAAGCCTCTAATACTCCTCAAAAAAATTATTTTAAAAATCTACGCCTCTGATAGTCCTCGAAAAAAATTACTTTTAAAAATCTAAGCTTCTAATACACCTAAAAAAAAATATTTTAAAAATCTATGCCTCTGATAGTCCTCGGAAAAGTTATTTTAAAAATCTACGCCTCTGATAGTCCTCGGAAAAGTTATTTTAAAAATCTACGCCTCTGATAGTCCTCGAAAAAAAATATTTTAAAAATCTACGCCTCTAATAGTCCTCGAAAAAAAATATTTTAAAAATCTACGCCTCTGATAGTCCTCGAAAAAAAATATTTTAAAAATCTACGCCTCTGATAGTCCTCGAAAAAAAATATTTTAAAAATCTACGCCTCTAATAGTCCTCGGAAAAATTATTTTAAAAATCTACGCCTCTGATAGTCCTCGAAAAAAAAATATTTTCAAAATCTACGCCTCTAATAGTCCTCGAAAAAAAATATTTTAAAAATCTACGCCTCTGATAGTCCTCGAAAAAATATTTTAAACAGTCCTCGAAAAAAATTATTTTAAAAATCCACGCCTCTGATAGTCCTCGAAAAAAATTATTTTAAAAATCCACGCCTCTGATAGTCCTCGAAAAAAATTATTTTAAAAACACACGCCTATTATAGACCTCGAATAAAATTACGACTTAGTCCCGCCATAAACATGATTGCAGAGTTCCTCAATATTTATTTTCCAATGAAAATTACATCAATCATATTTATTAAATTTTTTCTTTCAATAACATATTTCTTGTGTTCTCAAAGTGCATACCACAAATATTTGAAGTTCTTCGCCAGATTCTTAATTCAATAAACTTTGTTCATACAACAATTTTCTTTTCTATGGCATGCCATAAATTTGAAACATTTCATCTTAAGCATTACCAGAAAAAAACCAAAACCTTTAAAAATGTAATCTATCATATCAATGGTCTTAATGACACACAGTGGGTGGAAAAGATAAAAAGTAATGCCTTTGGTCATTAAACTATGTTATTAATTTTTATTAATTGAACGCATCTGTTCGAATTACTTCGTAATTACAAAAATTTCAATTAATTACAATTTTTATTATTGACCAAACTAAATTGCCTTTAGACAAATCCCCCACTGTTCTCAAATAAAATACAAAAAACACCGAATTGAAATCTATTTGCTGTTCAACAAAACTTTTCTTTTTTTTCTTGTCTCCTTGAAGCCATTGGAAAATTGTTGAAGACATACTTTTCAAGGTTTACATTTGGAATCTTCTTACATTTTTACGAACCAGCACACTCAGCTTCAACTTAGAGTGTCCTCATAAATCAAATGTGGGTGTTGGCCATTTGCAGTTTTGTATTTGACAAATAACAATAGAGAGACAAAACGATATGAGAGAAAAAACATCAAAGGAAGAGATGGGAATCCAAATTACGTAATATGAAATAAATACTAGAAAACAAATAATAAATATTAGAATGATTATTTTTTATTGAATATTTTTTTCCAGGCTTATAAAAGGCGTGGATTTTTAAAATAATATTTTTTTGAGGACTGCCATGAATCGAGACGTGAATTTGGCTGCTGATTTATGGTTAAAACAGGAGAATAAAAACGTTGCCTCCAGATTCACTCCAATAGATGAGCGAATTGCTATAATCCGTATAAAAGCGATGTTCTTCTACATCAGTCTCATTTACGCCCATGCTCCGACCGAAGACAAAGATGACAATACCAACACATATTTTACGAGCGCCTAGAAACATTGTATCAAATAGTAGCAGTGAAGTGGATACTCCAGAACCAATAATAGATGACGGTATAGAGTGTATACCACCTAGCCAAGATGAGGTCATAAAAGCAATTAATCGACTCAAAAACAATAAAGCAGCAGGTGCCGATGGGCTTCCAGCCGACCTATTCAAGACTAGTGATCAGATCCTGGTCTGGAGCATGCACCAGCTGATTAGTACAATTTGGCTAAAGGAATGCATGCCCAATGATTGGAACCTCAGCATCCTGTGTCCCGTGCACCAACAAGGAGACAAGACGATATGTGCCAACTATAGAGGAATAAGTCTTCTTCCCATCGCAATAAAGTGCTATCCAGCGTGCTGTGTGAACGACTGAAGCCAATGGTCAATGACATTATTGGACCATACCAATGCGGCTTCACGCCTGGCAAATCCACCATTGACCAGATTTTCACTCTGCGCCAAATCCTGGAAAAGACCCACGAAAAACACATCAACACAGACCGCCTATTCGGCGACTATAAAGCCGCATTCGACAGCCCTATCCGTTCAGAGGTGTTTAAAGCCATGTCTACGTTCGGCATCCCTGCAAAATTAATACGGCTATGCAGGATTACTTTGAAGTGGCACAAGATCAGCAGTTAAAGTCGGAAAGGACCTATCGGAGCCCTTCAATACCAAACGAGGATTCAGACAAGGTGACAGTTTGTTGTGTGATATTTTTAACATCCTGCTGGAAAATGTCATACGAGACGGAAAGGGGAACAGAAATAGAACTCTGTACACCAAACAACACATGTTACTCACCTACGCCGATGACATCGACATAATGGGTCGAACATTGCGAGCGGCAACGTCCACCTTTGAACAAATTGAAAAGGAGTTTGAACAATTGAAAAGGATGGTGTCAACGCGCAAGGCGTCGAGTAGACCCGGACCAACTGTGGAACTTGAGAACTGCAGCTTCGAGGTAGTTAAAGATTTTATATACCTTGGTACAGCCATAAATAAAAAGAATGACATCAGTTTTGAAATTTGGAGAAGGATTGCGATGGCCAACAGATGCTGCTATGGTCTAAGTAAGTAGTTTAGGAACAAGGCCACCTCCCGCCAGACCAAACTCACATTTTGCAAGACGCTGATACTACCCGTGCTGTTATATGGAGCTGAAGCATGGGTACTTGCGCAAGCAGATGAGGCAGGTTTTGGAGTGTTTGAAAGAAAAATTCTCCGAAAGATCTACGGGCCGATCTGCGTCGACGGTGAATATCGGCATCGAATGAACCACGAGCTTTACAATTTATACGCGGACATCGATATAGTCAGTCGCCACGAATTAGATGGAAACACCAAGTAGAAAACAACATCTTGGAACGTGGTCTTTCAAATTGGAGGCGTCCAGTAGACTCGGACCAACTGTGGAACTTGAGAACTACAGCTTCGAAGTAGTTAAAGATTTTATATACCATAAATAAAACGAATAAAATCAGTTTTGAAATTTGGACAAGGATTGTGATGGCCAACCGGTGCTACTAAGGTCTAAGTAAGCAGTTTGGAAACAAGGCCACCTCCCGCGACTATGGTGGCTAGGCCATGTTGTGCGAATGAATGAGAATGACCCCAGCTCAAAAGGCATATAAAAGCGAGCCTACTGCTGGTTCCCGTAGAAGGGGAAGGCCACGAATTAGATGGAAAGACCAAGTAGAAATCAACATCTTGGAACGTGGTCTTTCACATTTTTGGAGATGCGCTCATGGTAATCGTTTTTAAGCTCGGCCTATGGAACAACCGTTCTGTAAAAAGCCAGCTAAGCAAGTAAGTATTTAAGCCTATTGTAATACCCCGAACATTTGGTTTTAAAAGGCCAGGCCTGTGGAACCCCTAAGAAAATTGTGTGAAAAAAAATCTTTAAAAAATCCCGCTTATTGTTATCCTGATGGTACTTTATCGTCATCCTGCCTTTAACATTTAATTATTAATAAATTTTAATAGCACATATTATTCATTGGAAATTGATCCTTTTTGAATCCGTGATAATGATATTTACGCTTTCGAAAAGAAAAATAAATATTACCACCCTGAATTGTTCTTACACAATTCATCATCATCATCATCCTTTATGTTCGCTGATATTCATTGACCTGAAACCATAACAAAGTTTTTCCCTCCAATTCGTTTATCTACCAATTACATTGTCCAGCCCATAAATATTTTCAATACATTGCTGACCAATATAAAAATTCATCCACCTCCATCTCCTGTTCCTGTTCGACATAATGATCTGATTGTTGATTTATGTGCCTCACGGAACGTCGCGCTTTGGAACAAATCGTTTCATTAGTAGGTCACTGGCATAGCCAGTAAATGTCACTTTGAAAGTTGAGGCATAATAAAACAGAGACTTCTCCCATGCTGGCATATTGTTGTCGTTGGTGTTGTTGTTGTTGTTACCCACAATCAGGCAATAGCATCAAATATTGTGTGTCCCGCAGCCGCCGTCG